CATCAGACCAGACACCATTATTGACACTATAAACTTCTGGAACTCAGGAGCAGGCATTCTTTTAGTCTTAACATTGTTAATGGTGATGGGTAGTGGAAAATAGCTCTCAGAAACTGTCTCTGAGAAGCTTAAAGAAGAGATCTATGAGGAAAGCAAGGGAAATCTTTGAAGTTTGGGCCAACTGCCTTTAAATACATGGGTGTTTTTTTTTTCAACCTCTGCCCATTCTCTTTAGCACCGAACATTTCACCAAGGAAGAGTTTTACATGCTCACATACTTTATTAATTGCACAAGGTGCTTTATGAATGCTTCTGTTTCTCACCGCATCAGACTATTATCCTGAACCTAAGAGTATTCAGTATTGACATCTATTGGATGGTCTTGTAATGTAGCATAACTTGGATTGTAGTTCTTAATCCTATTCCTAGATTGAGCAGCCTGTGAGCAAGATGCTTTGGAAGAGAATGAACAGGCATTCCACACTTATCCTTGTCTTTCGGCCCTAATGCCCGCCCTTTCCCTGTGTTTTATTTCTTGTTTTCTTCACTCTTTCTTTAGCATGCCCTGCCAGGAAATGGCACTGATAACCACTTGTTCTATATTTACGTTGTAGAAATAAAGGGAGAAATGTGGTACCTTTGTCCCACTCAGTTAGACTGCCACCTAGGAAGTTACTGAAAACAACCTTTAGTCATAGGTTCTTTTTGAGCAGAGAGCCCTCACTGACAGTTGTGGGAGAAAATATTGTTCTGCTTATAAGTTTACAGCAAGAATTACATTGCTTTGCTTTTAAAACTATTGCAAGCAACTACATGTCCTATATGACTAGGCAACATACAGCAATAGACATAGCACTTAGACTTATGTACCCACCCCTTAGTGCTTTACAGCATCCTCTTGAGTGGTTTACAATGTCAGCATATTGCCCCCAACAATTTGGGTTCTCATTTTACCAACCTCAGAAGGATGGAAGACTGAGTCAACCTTGAGACTGGTCAGGGTTGAACTCCAGACTGTGGGCAGAGCTTTCCTGCAAATACTGCATTCTAACCATTGCGCCACCAGGGTCGTATATACTGTATAGGCTGCACTACATAGAGTACACTGCATAAAAGAAAATGCTTCAGTTCTTCACAGAGAGCTGGGAGTGCAGGACAGACTAAGATCACTGTTGTTTTTTCAGAGTTGACAAACATGGCTCTAAATTTATGGTCCTTCAGCCTATATTCTCTGTCTGTTCCAAAGCATTCTTCTTTCCGGGGCAATGCTGATTTGTATCAATTTCATACTAATATAGTTTTGGTAAATTTCCTGGAGTACTTCAAAATATTGACTTTGATCTTTAAATGATTTGGTTTTGAATATGTCAAGCTAAATTTTCAAGAGTCTGGACAACAATTTGTCTGAAATGATATAGGGCCTCCTGCTCAAGCAGGGGATTGGCTAGAAGACTTCCAAGGTCCCTTCCAACTCTATTATTCTATATTCTATGTTCAAAATCAATCTGGTGTAGTTGCTAAGATGTTGGACAACCACTGGAGGACCCAAATGTTATAGGAAAAAATTGGAGGAGGGAGTGCTACATACCGGTAATTTGTTGCTGAAGGTAAGATGGGTTGTCAATCAAACAAACAATATTAGCAAAAGCAATACAGAAAATTCTAATTCCTTTCTAAAATCTAGTGGTTCTCCTGAGTTTTAGAGTTTAACTCTGATAGACTTGGGGTTGTCTTAGTTTGGACTATTTACATCTGGATTTTATACCCTTATTTGGAGAGGGGCTAAAATTTCTTAGATAAGCACTCTATTACCATATTGATATCTCAGTCCAGATATCTTCTGTCAAAGGGATCAGGTAGTAACAATCAGAAACAATCTTTCAATATATTATGCTGCTAGATAGTGCAGAACAATGGCTTTTTCAGCTTCCCAGTCCAGTTAGCTTTGTTTTAGAAAGTATTCCTATCCTACACAAATAGCAGACACTAACATCTTGCCTTGTTTGTAAACTCCCCTGACCAGATTAAATAGGACTACCATATCTGGGCTGGAAAAATCTGGATAACTATTGAATGACAGCAAAGAGATAGATAGTCTGTTCTGTTTTCCTATCATGTAATGATTGTCTAGATTTTTGCAGACCAGATAAAGTATCCCTAAATTTGGGCTATAGACTGTGAAAAAACACTGTGGTCTCTAGAACCATCCCATTCTTAAGTAACATTTGTTTGGGTATCCCACCAAAGGGTGTTGGAAACTTCAGATAGATTTCAGATTATATTATATTTCATGGTATTATTTTACATGCTGTTGTATCTGAATGTATAGGCTGTGGTGAACAAGACATATAGCAATGTAGATCAATTACAGTGGTAGAGAGAGTAAAAAAATATAGACAAGACTTGTGATTTGAGGAGGGCATTTCCTAATTATTAATCATTGCTTTTAAAATGGAAAATACCTATAATGCTACACTATCATAAATAACAAAGGGAAGTGTTTAGGTACCTTAGAGGGAGAACATGCAAATTTTGATTAAAAGGTACGTTTAAGGGAAATATGTGTGGGTTGAGTGTGTGTGTGTTAATGAAAAGATTAAGTTAAGTAATACAACAGACCTATGCAAGTCAAACAAAACTAGCATAGAGTAGCACTAATTTCACACAATGCCCTTGTTGTAGATTCGACAATGTGATAAGCCAGTGATGGTGAACCTTTTCAGCGCCAAGTGCCGAAAAGGGAGTGCATGCGTGCACGTCTGGGTTGCAACCCGGAAGAGGAGCTGCCCACGGCACATGCGCATGCACGAAGATGAACTTCCAGTTTCAGCTACTGAACTTCTGGTTTCAGCCAGCTACTCTTCCGGGTTTCTGGCACACATGCACATGCAGTGATCAGCTGGCTGGCACGCATGCTCACGCAGGAAAACAGAAGACCAGCTAAAAGATCTTCTCGTTTCCGGCACTGCCGCATACAAAAAGGCCAGCTGATCATCGTGCACGCATGTGCGCCAGAAACCCGGAAGAGGAACAGGTGCCACCGCGTGTGCCAAGCGACATGGCTCCATGTGCCACTTCGGCACACATGCCATAGGTTCGCCATCACAGCAATAAGCAAATGAACAACAACAAGAACAACAACAGAATATTAGAAGATGGAGAAAGTAGTTTACTACAAATAGCTGAACTCCATATTTGACTAAACAACATGTCCAAAATACATTCAGGTCATTTGTTTAGCAGCATTCCTATCAAAAATACTCCCAACATAAGAGTGAAGAGTTTGGAAAACATCCTGATTTGAGCAGAGGCATACACCTGATTCCCAACAAGGTTTTATTCTGCTTCGCTAGGCATGAAGGTGCCTTGACGATGCTTCTGAATTCAGTGTTTTCTATGGAAATAAGAAAACTATTGAGACAATATTTTTATGAGCCTTGCACAGTTTGCCAGCTGGGGCTTTATTTAGAGTGGAGAAAAATGCTTTTGAAAAACATGTCTTGATTATCTATAGTCTAGATTACTGAAATACAGTACTTCAGCACCAGGCTGGCCTTACAAGCAATCATGAAATCAATTAGGAGAGACAATAGTAGTAACAGTTGAACAGACCCAAGCAAGATCCTTTGCCTAGAGGGTGCCTTGAAACTCAACTATTATTTTCTTTAATTAGAAGTAACTAATATTGGCAGTCTCCTTTGTGTATGCTGATAGAAGGAAATTGGGGATTTCCAGGGATGAATATTTTGGCTTCTTTATCAAAAAGGTATAGGATTAGCATAATATTATGCAAAACTAAGAATGCATAAATTACATTTGTTCCATGGTTTTTTAAATCTATTCTTTATTGCTTGCATATATTTCCTTCTAAAAACCCTGGTACAGTTTGGCTGGTTTTCATTTATTTATTTGTTTAGTTCATGTGTTTGCTTGCAGCAACCTTGTGTATGAGATTGCTATGGCAAGTCCATACAGATAGGTTGATGTATTTGATTTGTTGCTAGTTGAAGTTACCTGGGCTGACAAAGTCTCCGATTCCTGGCATTCAGTCAGAAAATTAGAATATAGGTCAATAAATTGTGAAAGTAAGACAGTCAAGGAAGGTATACTTTACTTCTTTATGTTTAACAAAGTTACCTGTTTCCTTTTTAAAGGGGTGACTGAAATAATGCAGCCACATTTCATGTCCATTTAAAGAGCATGCCTGTGCATTCTTACTGCACATTATTAGTCTGTTGATATCTATGCCAATACATTTTCTATTTGTAGGCAAGGGAAAGATAATTGGAAAAGTGAAGTTAAGAAAAGAGAAGTCAACTTAATAGAAGTCACGGAAAAGTATATGCTTCTCTGGTTGTCCTCAACTATCAGTTCTTGTGTTACTCCACAGCTCCACACAAATCCCCTTACTCTGGAGAAAGGAAATTTAACATTTCGAGAGCCAGAAAGATGAGAACAGCCTCTAATTAAACTGATTTTTTCTTTTAACCAGATACTGGATCCATTGGGAGCTCTCCCTCCTCCTTGTCATGGAGATAAGTTGCTGGAACCTAGACTGTGTTCTTTCTTTCCAAATAACCAATCTATGAAGAAAGGAGTTTTTTTTTCCTTTCTTTACAAATAAATTGCATTGGGCTACAGCTTTTTAAAGACAACCTTACTTTAAGGCAAATGAAACAAGTCACTGGCAGCTGATAGTGATATGTGGTGGCAAGCTGTTGGAGGAGCAAGTGAGTCCCTTGTCTTCAATTCAGTGGATAATGATGATTTTAACTGAAAGGGGGGAAAATGAGATGGATTACATTTTTAGCTATATAAAAGTGCTTTATAAAAATGGATGGAACTAGATGTCCTGAAAAATTAGAGCCCACCTAGATTTGATGTGAATTATGAGATGGTGTGATGGAATGTGTACCTGGAGAAGGAGTGGAGGGAGGGGAATTCCAGAAAGACCACTGCAGTTTCCCAGGAAGAAGCCCAAATTAAGAGATTGCACAAACCTGAGCTGGATGTGGGAGGGAGGAAGAGGTTCAGCGTACCCGTAGCTTAGAATCTCTCAGGAAATATCTATTAAGTTAGAAGGTTATAGCTTTAGTTTGACAAGATTATGTCCATTAGATATAAAAAATAAATAAAGGATTGAACTTGATTGGATTTCACAGTGTTGTCTTTGGGCTGGACCTGACAGATGGATCTGGCAATGCTTTGGTTGCGGTCTATAAAGTACCAGCTATAGTAGGCAAAGTAGAGAGCAGACCAGATCAGAACTGTAGCATAGGTTATGGAAAGAGGAAGGAGGCAGAGAATCTGGGGAATATCTCAAAAAGTGGCTAAAGAAGCATGCCAGTAGTTGTGAGCGAGAGATGGCAGCCTAAAGAAGGAGATAGAAGAGACAGGAAAAGATCAAACTTCATTTGTGCTCAGCAAATAGGAAAGGAAGAGGGGTGGCAGCAGATAAATGGCACAGCCAAGAACAGAAGTCAGAAAGCCCAAAGTGCTATCAAACCTTAATATATGTGGGGAGGGGGGGCGCGAAGGCATGGAAACAGAGGGTCTTGAACCATCTGCTCCCATGGCCTTGAACTGATCAGCTACTCTTGGCTGATGTTTGTATTTCAAAAGAAGCTGCCATCTACATGTTTGTCAATCACAATTTTAGACTGTTTAAATGTTTCTGGCATGCAAGACAGCTAGTAGCTACACTGCCAAGATTTTATTAAGTTAGTTATTTGATTCCACACTTTCATTTTTTTAAAAAAATTATCTAAGTGGATTAAAATGGCACAAATTTAAGGCTGCCACAATAAACAACACATTAGGACAGCTTGGCCAGATAAATATTTTGTTAAGCTTTCAGCAATCAGTGAAGACCCACATGTTCTTCCAGACGTGGGGTTGAACTAAGACGAAGTTGTTCAATATGATGCAATTTTGCTTTGATGTGTTAGCTTTTATGATTCTATGTGGCTTTATTGGATTGCATTATTACATCCTGTTTTGGGACTACTTTTAATCAAAAACAAGCTAGAACAAAATAAACAAGTCACATTTGAAAGTGGTCAGTAAATAGAAAGGAATTCATTGGTGCCACAAAGGTACTAAACTTTGTTTAAGAAAAAAAGTTTTCTTCAGAAAAGTTCCTTCTTAGTAGTTGCATGTCCAGGTGAGTCAGCAGAAGAAACAGGTTCCCTTTTGATGCACCTACCTGTATGACTAGTTGGCCTGCCCTATCTCCTCTGGAGGCAGAACACTTTTGTATTTACGTGAATTATTCATAATTCTAGGTTAAACTTTGTTCCTTTTGTTAATTCTGAATTCACTCTAGGTTTTCCCCAGTGACTTACAATGGCATTTATTGCTTGGTCCTGAATTAAATCCCTGTGATTTTGCATTTACTATTTGTTGATTTGTGTGTGAGAGATGTGTTTAATGTTCTTCCTCCTGGTGACTCTAGTTATGCTTTCAAAATAAAATGGAAAGCAGCCATCCCGCACATAGAATTCCAAATAAAATCAACACAACCAATCCAGTTAAACTATTTAATATATTTTCTTCTTGAATAAACTCTTTGGTTTCAATGCAGGCTCATGTGTAAAGGATAATTTAATAAATCACCTGGGCCTTCTGCTTGAATGTTTATAGTCTGATTCCCCCACCCCCACCCCCACCCCTTGTTCCTCTTACTTCTCATCCTTCTTTCCTCTGAAAGTCTGACTAATTGTTCTTTTGCCCAGTTATGATGTCTGAGATCGGAAAGCATCCAGGCCCTAAATTCATCTTTCTAATGACCCCTGGAGGAATTACACAAACACACTATTTTCACTGGTTGTGCTTTTTTATATATATAAATAAGGTTATATGGGAGAGGTTTTACTGGGGGGAAAATTAATTTTATCTATTCATGTGTTGTAGCAGATTATGATAGACTGTCGAGCCTGGAAGGGACTTTGCTGCTCATCTAGACAAGTCTCTTGCTCTGGGCAGAAATCCACTGCTACAACATCCCTGGAAGTTGACCATCAGCCTCCATTTAATTGAGTCAATTTATCAGCTGCCTTAGCATGCTAAAGCTATGAGCCTGTCACAGCATGGAAATTAAATGAACATAGTAGTGCAATGCTGCATTTAATGGATTTCCCTCCCTAATAAGCAGGAAGCAGTTGTAAAGGTCTGGCTTGCTTTGTTGGGACTTGCTCATGCTTCTACTGTTTGCTAGATGCCAAAGTTAACAGGAAGACAAAATTATTGGAAGTTGACAAACGTTCACTAGCCAGATGTATTTTGCTAAACTGTATAACAGAAGTTAACTCCTCCTAGCATTAGGATTCACTCCCCCCACCCCCCTCCACTCAGATCTAACCCTTTGAGAGGAGACCTGGGCGCTACACTTCACAAAGTGAATTTAAACTAGAATTAATGATTATAACCCATCAATATATTTTTATCCATGTCAAAGTGGCCATTTTTGAAGGGACTCTAGAAACACTTGAGGAGTCACATCTACTTTGTGAATGCATACATTCCTGATTTAGTGCAAAGGTACAAAGTATATATGTTTATTATAGTGGTGTGTATATTCACATGGCAAATCTAAAGAGGAGAAACAATTGCATGCATTGATATAGAAAGCCTAGTGGGCTTTCTAATTAAAATAGGAAATATGTTCTCAAAAGCAATTTTTTCCCACTAAATTAGAGGATAACTTACATTTAACTGTTGCAGCAAAATACATGCCACATCCACACCCAACTTTAGATGCTATAAAGCAATCTTCTCCAATCTGTACCCTCTGGATGTAATGGGAATGCAGTTGTCTCCAGACATTCCAACATAGCTTAGAAGGATGATAGAACCAGAGCTGGTGAGAAGTTTTATAGACCACATCAGAAGGACGTTTTGCTTACAATAAGCAGGCAGAGAGGTTTTGTTTCTAGTTACTGGATTTCGTTACCAAAGTATTCAACAATTGCATGCTAACAGTGTGACTCAGGGATTTTTTTTTTTTTCACACAGCAAAGCCAACATCCTGAAACAATTGATGTATCACATTGTAAAACAACAATAGGTGCAATTTTTTTAAGTCTAAAATCTACGGTTGGACTAGAGCAGCTTTTCTCAGTCTGATGTCCTCAAGATGTTCTGGAATTATTATTTCCTAGAATTCAAGCAATTGCTGACTGGCAGTTTGGGGAATTTAATCCCTACAGATCTGAAGGCAATTAGGTCAGAAAAAAACATGTGATGTCTTTCGTTTTTGGGTCAGGGCCAGTTATAGTACATAAAGGTTTTAATGCAGTCCCATTTCTTCACCTTTATCAAAATATATGTATACTGCACGAGTCAAAAAGAGGGCTATGAAAATATTTACAGACCCCTCACATCCTGGACATAAACTGTTTCAACTCCTACCCTCAAAACAACGCTATAGAGCACTGCACACAGAACAACTACACAGAAGAACAGTTTTTCCCCGAACGTCATCATTCTGCTAAATAAATAATTCCCTCAACACTGTCAAACTATTTACTAAGTCTGCATTACTATTAATCTTCTTATCATTCCCACCACTCATCTCCTTCCACTTATGACTGTATGACTGTAATTTTGCTGCTTGTATCCTTACGATTTATATTGATATTGTTTCCTGATTGCTTATTTGTACCCTATGATTATCATTAAGTGTTGTACCTTATGATTCTTGATGAATGTATCTTTTATTTTATGTACACTGAGAGCATATGCATCAAGAAAAATTCCTTGTGTGTCCAATCACACTTGGCCAATAAAGAATTCTATTCTATTCTATTCTTAAAAAATTCATTTTGTTAGTAAACTAACATTTCACATTGTTTTTTAAAGCCAGGATAAGTGGCAAAGGATTGAGGAGGAAAATCAATTTATGAAGAAAAATAGAGAAACTTAAGAACAATTGGTACCTTTTGGTTATTCTTATTGCTTTAGTCTTAATACTAAAGGCTTGGTATCAAACTTGTCTTTCTTTCTTGGCTCACCTACATGCAGTTTTTGATTCATTCTCCAAGACCTCCATGTCCAGGTAGACCTTGACTTACAATCATAATGGATGTTATAGTCGTATGTCATGACACTTGTAAAATGGATCACCAGGTGACCAATCCAATTTTACAACCTGTCTTTGTGGCAGTTGTTAAGCAAATCACCATGGCTGTTAAATGAATCTGATGTCATTAAGTGAATGCTGCAGCTGTTAAGTGAACTCGTTGTTCACTATGGGGCATTTTTGCTGAAAACTGGAAATAAATGCCTATTTTCAGCAAAAACATAAATCACAATAATGTGACCACAAATTGTTACAAGTGTGGACCAGTTACTGAGAGCCTGAAATGTGACTGAAGTGTGATACTGTAGGCGGAGCTGGGGGAGGGCAGCAGTTGTTGGAACTTCTGAATTGGATTTGAATTGGATTTTAAGTATAGTTTTGGGAGGTCCATTGTAACTTTGAACAGTTGGTAAGCAATTGGCCATAAATTGAGGATTCTTTGTATACCTGTACTTGATACGTTGTATAATCATATTTTCATATAGCAATAAAGATGTTACAAAACAAGAAGGGTTCCATGCTTCTTAATCTTGTTGAGTGTTATGCAAAACAATGTGTCAGTCTCTATGATGCTTGCTTACTATCGGCTGCCATAGTAATGGGGTGGGGATGTATAAGTATTTGGGAGGGGGAAGTGAGCTGGTGGAGATGTCTCATGATGTAACCGAAAGGGAGGAAAAGGAAGGAATATTCTCATCGTCTTCGGAGCAGCTGAATGGACTTGTTGATAGGCAGTCAAGGTCAACTGTTCTGAAGGTGGGACCATCTGAAGATGCACCTCGTATGACATCTTGGGGAGCTGGGGATTGGACATGGAGCCACGGTCCTTTGGGGGGGAGGGATTTGGGAATACTTTCAATATGTAATTTTCACGCCTATTGCCTCAAATCTTGCTTTCTTTTCGTTGCTATCAGTTCATGCTCAGTAAAAGTACCTTCCTCTACAAACACAGAGTTGGGGTTTTTCTTTCTTGAGTTTTGAATGGAAGCACACCTGACATTATGGGTGGAAGAAGAAAAAAAGTGATAGAAAGAAACCAGCTGATGTAGTCATAACAACTATTTCCCTGCCGGTGGCTTAGTGTCTCCCTCTGAACTACACTAAAAACAATGACCTTAGGGGGGAAAAAAGAAATCCATACAGGGATGTGTGAAAAGAACACAAACAAAATGCTTCCAGGAGCACAAGTCATTTTCCCACTTAAAGTATTATCTAGAGTCTTCTATCATTATTCCAAAGTAATAGTAATGAGAATAGGCTTGATATTACTTCAGTGATGGCTGGGTCACTAGTGGGGAAATAGCCAAAGCCATCTAGGGTTGCAACTGACTCAGCCAAAACATTCAGAAATGTATTAAAATAAATTAGAAATAAGAATAGAAAAACTAAGATTTGATTAACAAATATGGAAAAAGAACACTTTGGCAGAAACTGTAACTAACTAAAATATATTTGGATATGATAAATTGTATATGATATGTTATGGTTAATACTCTGTTTCAAAAAATATGTGGGTGTGTATTGGGGGGACTAATAAAACTTGTCAGAAAAGAAGAAGAAATGTATTAAAATATAATAAACTGGAATTTTATTATAATTGTGCTAATGAGCCGGACATCTTTTATAATGAGACACTACTTGATTTAATTGGGAGTAGTTAGCACATCTCTGATGATTTTATAGCTGGTCTTCCATTTAATTAACACTTTGCTTCTTCCTTCCCCTCTTCCATGAATTAACCAGGAGGGCAAACCAACCTGCCAATTGTTTAAAAAGAGAAGAAAATTGCCTGACATGAAGGCAGAATTGAGTGGTTGACCTTGAAAAACTGGCTGGTGTATTTGTCTTCATGGTGAAAATATGACTCTGCAGGAGTCATTCGGAAAAAGAATTTCTGTCTCCTAAGGGTATATCTGAACTGTGTTTTACATCAAATGGAACATTATCTTCTCAAATGCCACTTTAAAGCTACCTCAGACAGCCTGAAAACTGACATAAACTATGTCACTGGTAAGGAGCTAACTCCCTCACAGACAATCTATTTTGGGGAAAACAAAACAAAACAGCTTTAGGGACAAATCTTCAAGAGAGTTGTTTGGGATGTCAAAGTTACATTCATTTAACCCACCAAGAAATACTGGAAGCTGCAGAACAAAGCTGTCCTTTGTTAATTACAGATCCAACATTTGCATTTCAGTTGAATGGCAGCTGTTTAAAATGTTGCAATTGGATACTAGAATCAGGTTATATCAAGCTGGATGTATGAAGTTAGTAATTAGAGCAGAACGGCTTAAAGTCACTGTGAGTTGCTGAAAGATATGCAGCATCCAGTGGCTCCAATGTTCTAGAAACAGACTTTGAGCTTTACATGTGAGCAATTAAAGGAGGTTCTGATATAAATGAATACTTAAAAGAATAATACAAGTGGGACATTTATTTGTCCCACACCAGCAGAGGTTTTCTAGGTTTGGTCACCTACCCTGTCACCTATCCTATTTGAGTCACATGGCAAAAAACAAAGAAATCATTTTTTAAAAAAATACAGGGGTTTAAATGGCATTGTACATACCAGAGGAAGAATATGGTGGATTCAGCCAGTTCACACCACTTTGGGAGAACCAGTTGTTAACTTTCTGAGCAGTTTGGCAAACTGGCTGTTGGAAGAAATCATTAGGGCAGAGAACCAGTTGTTAAATTACTTGAATCCCACCACTGGGTGGATCTCTTTCCTGGTGTCATCCTGCAATTAGAATCATCAGCAGTAAATGAAACACTAGATATGGGAGTCTGCCAACAATATTAATAGAAGATTATATGTGTATAGAAGATAGGAGAACCTTCTCCTTCACAATAATATCCAGTTAATTATTGAACTTTCACGTTTCTTTGAAATACATTTTATGGAAATGTTCATATGCCTACAAAAAATAAGATCACTGAAAAGTGAGGCAGCAGAACACATCAAATGCTGCCTTTTAAAAAGTATGCAGTACTTGACAATGCCAAATGCAATATGAATATTGTGGTATGTAAACCGCAATGGGTGTAATTTATTTCTCAGCAATTGTAGTTTGATAACATGATTTATTTTCATGAGATGAAGTCTATTAAAAGAAGACTTTATAAAGCAATTGTCAAAGGATGTATTTCTCCTCCCTTATAGTTCAGTGCTCTGTATACTTGGAATTATACCTAAGGCATTTAGGATGCCTACGAGTTAAATTGAATGTGGGATATGGAATCATTGACCAGAGTCTAATGGAGTTGGGTGGCCATGAAATTTATATTTAAATTAATAGATAATGTTATGAACTTGTTCAGTTTTTTCTCCACTTGGTATGTGGCTTGAAATTTTGCTTAAATTATTTTGCTCTTTTAATTCTTGTAACAATCCAGAGTTTTGTACAAGTGGGTGGTTGCCAACATTGAAGAACATATAAACTAATATATAACTGTTCAAAATTATATCTTGTAACTTTCACTGAGGTTTATTCCTATTCCTATTTATATTAGATTGCAATATTAGACCGAAACTGCCATACAGTTTCTAATCAGTTTAATCCTATTCAGTGTACCTTTTGAATAATCGTAAGTAGTATAAATGTGGAGACCTAGTAAGAACTCCTGTCCTTTTTTATGTCTTTGTGATGATTCCTTATTATAAGTTCCTAAAATTCATACATGTTCTTACAATAAGACGTTTTCCTATTCATGTCAGGAATTTTACACAAAAGCTGTAAAGGTTCCTCTTCTAATAAACC